TCATCTTCATATTCATCTTCAGAAGAATCCAAAGATGCAAATCTGTTGTTTCTCAAAGAGGCGCTAGACAAAGTCCTGCGAATACTGTGTTCAGGCTGAACAGGGGAGATGGAAGCTTGTTTAGAAGCAGATGCCACAAAGGAGAGTGAAGCTTGTTTAGAAGCAGATGCCTCTTTTGTTGAGGCCATAACAGGGTTGATAACCGGTGAAGAAGAAGTTCCCTGAGGATAAGATAAAATTTTGTGAAAAGAAGAAATGTTACTTGTAGCTGGTGTTGAAGTTGGAGTCGCATCATTGGGTGGGATGAGAGTGAGAGAAACCGGAGTTGATTTCTCTACTGAAGGGATGGTTTCAGGGTTTTCCAGAGCTTTGGCAGTTCCAGCCCCTGCAATTTCTGTAACTGGTGGCAAAACAGAGCTTGTAGCTTCCTTTGGAGTTTTCTTATGAACCACCGGACTTGAAGTTCTCAGTAAACAACGAGAGGCTTTGTGTCCTAAGTGACCACAATCACTACAAACAGTAGGCAACCAAGAATATAACACATCCACCATTGTGATTGCATCACTTATATCAACTAAGGCAACTCTCTGAGGGAATGGTTTGTCTAATTTAACCTCAACTAGAACTTTCGCTCTTCCCATTTGAGTTGGGTCCAACCATGGCTTCTCAGTCAGCATCGGTTCCCCAATACCGGAATAGTAGTGATTTCCGGTATAGAAATAGTTTCTGTTGGAGACCAGGGAGACACAAACATCAAGCAGTCATCAATATGCCACAAACCTCTCTGTATGACCCAATTGCGAGTTGATTCATGAGGAATATGGAATAGATATGTTGATTCTCCTAGCTTACGGATGAAAATTTGACACTTTCTACCCCAAATCATAGATACAATCGCCTGAATTTGACCTCTTGACGGAGCAGAACATCGAGAGAATTGACCTACCACATATTCCTTTTGATTCTCAACACCACCGAGAAGAACATGACTAGGGATTCTCACCTTTGGGGTCCCATCATCCATGTATTCTGGAATGGTGACTCTATGAAGGTTTCTCGTAGATGGATTCATCTTTGCTGCCCAAGGGTAGTCTTTGGAGTGTGCCTTCAGTAATGCTAATTCAGCTTCCGATTCACTTGAATCTTTTGTTATAAACTTATTAATATCAATCTAAACAAACAAACAACGATTTATTTGTCACGGCTTTGTCTTCTCCAATGTGGTAATTATCTGGTGCAGTTCTTCTTGTTCCGCTTAGCCAGAGAAACTGAAAAATTAGATTTATGATCTTGGTTTTGGAAGTGTACTTGACCTGAAAAATTAGGTTCATCGCTAACTGGAAGATAAAAATTCAAACGAATTGAAAACATTAATGAATTTACCTTCAAATTATACGCGTTGATTATCTTCTCTCGAGCTGATGTATATTGGAGGCGTATCCGTCATTTCGTTGCCTACCGAGTTTCGTCATCTTAAACGTTTATATGGATGTCTTGGACCATGTTGTTAACTTATTTTGGACACATCGATAAATATTTGGAATTGGCCAATTATTAGCTATTTACCCTTTTAATACTCCAACAACCTGAAAAGAGAATACATCTCCCTTCGAGCAAACTCCCAAACTATGCTTTTCACGTGCAACAACCTGTAGATCTCATTCCCATCAACGCCTTCTTTATAAAGGCTTCATTGAGAGTATCACTTATTTCACACTTATTATTTCACATCTTCTTCATCTATATATTCTTATCATACTTTTTATTGTTAGAAAAACACATCACCTTTAAAAGTACCAAGGCTGGTAATGGCTCTCGAGGGTGTGATCTTCCAACACGACCATTTGTACAGCTACAATGATAAAGAAGCTTACTCCAACATTTACATAGAAGATGAACCATCTTTCTATGATCTCCAAGCTTCTCTCAGCTTGTTCGACTATCAAACCGAAAACTTCCACTCGAATTTTCTCCAAGAAGACTACTATAGGAATACTACTACTACATTTCTTCATCAACCACCTCAAGAAATTGTAACTAATGAAGAAAATACTACCTCGAACCAAAACTCTTATGGTAGCCCGAACTGCGATATGAGTTACGACCCGGCAAAGGGGAAGAATCAGGCAACGCGACGCAGATCAAGGGCGAAAAAAGACGAAGAAGAAATCAATAATCAACGTATGACTCACATTGCAGTGGAGCGTAACCGGAGAAAACTGATGAATGAGCATCTCTCTGTTCTCCGCTCTCTCATGCCTGGGTCATACGTTCAAAGGGTATCTATATTTACAATCATTATATATACTAGCAAGTAGCATCTATACATAACTTTTTTACTCTTAATCATTTTAATAAATACAGAAAATTTTAGTAATTTAATATTTTTCATGATGAATCTTAGTAGATTAATAGTTAACCTTTTTTATTATAATTAATAGTACATGTATAAATTATATAGACTAACAGAAACATTATTTTTCACGTTCACTTTTATTAGATCTTCTAAAACAATTAAAATTCAATAAAGTTAATTGACATCTTAAGAAAAATATTCGGAATTTTAAGAATTTTTGGTATATAATCCCAAACTAGTCTTATTTTAAAACTATGTACTTACTTGAATATTCAAGGTAACATTAATCTTATTTTTTTATCAACAACATGCAGTATACGAATTTGGAAAGGGTAGAAACACCAGAGCAGTACCTTGTAGACTTTGCATGCATAATTATTTTTAGTAATGAGTTAAGTTTGTTATCTTTGTCATGGATTCAGTGTGACCAAGCATCAATAGTAGGAGGTGCCATAAACTTCATCAGAGAACTCGAACACCGTCTTCACCTCCTAAACTCCAATGTCCAAGTAAACGAAGGCGACAGTATCGCATCCGCCACACCTTTCTCCGACACCTTCAAGCTTCCCCAAGTTTCAATTGCTTCCTCTGTTGTCAGCGAGAACGGGGTTCTCGGGGTTAACGCATTGGCTGATATTGAAGTAAACCTCGTCGAGAGCCACGCAAGTATCAAGATAAGATCAAGAAGGAGGCCAAAGCTTCTTCTGAACATGGTCTTTGGTTTACAGAACTTAGGGTTTATCATACTTCACCTTAATGTCTCCACTGTTTCTGACTGTATCCTCTACTGTTTCTCCACTAAGGTACGGTTTCTGTTAATCCTACATCTCTATTTACCTCTAATTTTATAAGGTTACAGTAAAGAAACATACTAAAAATAGCTGTAACCAAAAAACTAGATCTATTGGTAAAATTTGTAAACCTATGTATGATTTTATTGTAAATAAAATGCTAGGCCTAGCCTTAACCTAACTGTTTTTATCTTGTCACTTATCGTCTTATTAGTTTTATAAGGTGATGATCAACAATAGATCATTATAATAAGATTCGGTTTCAAATATAGGTTTAGTTATGAAGCTAATTAATCTATGAATTCTAGACCCGTCTGGCAAAAACAGATAAACCTAACTAGATATACCATTCACATGCTATTCTTATAGTCAATGGAAACTCTGTATTTAGCCTCTACGCACATCAGAATTGTATCCGATAATGATATCTTCACCTAAATATATATATATATATATATATATATATATATATATATATATATATATATATATATAAAACTTTGTTCTTCTTGTTTACCAATAAATGATATATCACATTCTATATACGTTTATAAAATGTTATTCTATCATATCTATGCTACTATGTACCACTATAAATTTTAACTGCATATCTACATGTTTTGACTATCACTTAATTAAGATGATTACTTTATATATATTATACGTTAAAATAAATGTCTAATGAAACCAAAATCCACTCGTTAATTCAACATATTTTTGTGTGTTTATGATTTTTTTGGTAGAATAGTACTAAGCATAAACATTTTAATTGTTTGGCCATTCTACCTTTGTTTCACAAACAACTTTATCTACTATTTTTTTTCATCGGTTATAAAACAATGTACTCTATTTATCATGTGAATAAGAATTAACCAAGAACGATATATTCAAATATTTCATGCATATGACTAGGCCACAAATACGTGTTGGCACTTTTAGTAACTACATAAGATTTGAGAAGTTAGTTTAGAGTCCTTGTTTATATCCGTTTGATATATGTTGTATGTAAACTCTGTATCTTTAGTTGGATTTATGAACTGCTTTAGTTCTTAATTGGTATATATAATAGCGGTATCTTTGAAAAAGAACAAGAAATTTTGATACTTTGTAAAGTATGTATAAATGATTGGTATCTTTGGAATCCTCCATCTTCGGTTAAGATTGAAAATGTGGTTAGAAAATGATACATAAATTTGGTAATTATAAAGTTACGTCAAATATAGAAATTTAACTTTTGGATTAATCTATTTATTTTTCAACTATCTGGATTTTTAATATTGCTAATAAATAACTAATGCAGATGGAAGATTCTTGTAAGCTTACATCTGTCCCTGATATTGCTACCGCAGTGCACGAAATGCTCCGGATTCACCATGATGTTGTTCAACAGTAAACCTAAGTTAGTATATCGATTTGTAGAGTTAATGTTTGTAATTACTAGACAGCTTGAGTTTATATAACTGAAATTACATGCTTTGTCCGTCAAGTTATTTTAAATATTTGTAACATTTATAAATGCTTTTATCAACTGCAGTTTTCATACTCTGTAGTAAACATGGACTGTCAATTTTCTGTTGAGTGTTACAAAAGTTAATGGTAACACCGCTGGAGATTAATGGTCGTTGGATCTTGTTAATATTCGAAAAAAAAAAACTTAATTTTAGAATATAGATTTAGAGGAACAAAACAATAAAGAAAATCGCGTAGTCATTCTCAACCCATCTTATCTGTCACACCAATAATTCCCACCGTGATATTCAATCAAAATAGTTTGTAACAAACTTTACAAAACCAGGAATCTATGTTTTTCAATGGGCTAGAAAACCTCTTTTACGGATTTTAAATTTATTATGTGATTATTAAGTAAGTAAAATGTGCTAAAACAAATTTAAAAGCCAAGGGCTTATACGAGATTATAAGATCTAAGAGAGTTGTGTGAAGGGTTTTATAATATTCAACAATGTTAGTCTCAATTGTCAATTTATACAAGATATTAGAAGACCTTTAAGTAATTAGCAAATATAGCAAGAGTTACACACAAAGTCGAAGGAACATATTTATTGGTGGCACATGAGCTTTTCCAGAGCTGCTGAGGGAGTATGTGGTGGTGCGGTGGAAAACATATATAAAGAAGAATATGCAAGAAATGTTTCTATGAGTTGAAGTCTACATAGTTTGGAACTAGATCCAGGCCCGGCTTGGCATGCCAACGTATGTTGATTTGCATATGGACCCGTCTTATTCCTTCTTCATAGTGTCCCCCATGTATAACATACATTCTAGGTCCTTTTTTTTAACTTCAAATCATAGTATTTTAATTAAAATACTTCAGAGTTAAAAAGGTTTTGCTCATCTTCCACCAAAGGATGAAGCCAAATTAGGGTACAATAATCCAAAAAATCAAGATAAATAGGAAATTTTGACGGCTCTTTAGCTATTCAATCTGCACATTAGTTGCATTCCAGGTACTTTTTTTTTTTTACTGCAAGTACTACTTTATTCACCTCTAAAGCAGGAACCGATTACAAGGCAAATAACGTTTTTTTTTTTGCAGAGAACATATAATACAGAATAGTGAAGCAAGATAATTTGAGAAAATATCACCGGTGAAAGAACTTGAACCACGTGTACTAATATACATTTGATGTGAGCTGTTGGTTTCTCTGAGAAGAAAGTCTGTCCATTGAAAAGAGCTTGGCCTTGAGAATGATCTGAACTTCTTTTGATAGCATCGAGTGAGTCTTAACCGCAGAGGAATGCAACCGAGAGTTTCGAGAGTTTTTGCATTCTAGGTACTTTTACAACACACATTCTAGTTAATTTTAACATTAACAATAATACCTTTACGCAAACCATTAAACAACATCACACAAACATACGAAGTTGTTTCCTCATTCATATAACCATATATTTTTAGCGAGTCAGTTAATATAATCCCTAGTCCATATTTGTATATGCATATTCATTTAGGGTCTTAACTCACAAAGTAATTAACAACCAAACAATCATCAACATATACTAGTATATTGACAAATATACGAAGATATATACATAATCACAATAATAATTATTCATACAAATATATGTGATTAGACTCGCACACGACAGAAAATTTACCTAAACGTCCTAAACATAATATTTAAGTAGTCTTCTCTATGGTTAGAGGCATCTTTAAGTTGTGTGTGTATCTTTATAACAAGAACCTAAAGTTGTAGTATATACTGTCAAACTGAACGAAAATATTTTATAAGTTCATTGAGTATATGAATGAAGTCTCAACATCACGTTTTTAAATATGCAACTAGTGTATTATTCTTCACTTAAATGAGTATATGTATCAAGCCTACATTTTCTCAAACATAAAAAAAAAAAAGAAAAAAAAATAATATAATTAAAAACCTCCACAAGAGAATATCCTAATAGCGTGAAATTGTTTTGTGTTAAGACATGTGAGTTTGAACTCATAAGACGTTGACTTGTGCATATATGTGTGGCATGTGAACTTATATGGACCATGTGACCTTGAGCTCCAATAATTGAAATGCTAAAAATATTATCTTCTCTACTGATTTTTTCTTGTAATATTTAAATTTCATATGCTAAACTATAAATCGCATTACATAAATGTGTATTATTTTGATGAGACTTAAAAATGTTCAATTTGGATGACAACTATCTATAAACTCGAATATTATTTTAAGAAAAAAAAATATATTATATTATCCAACTGTTCCTCACGGGAAATTTAATGAGTACAATATAAGAAACTAATGAAAATATATTTATTTTTCTTTGTGTCAACTACAACTATATAACAACTAGTTCGAAGCCAACCAAAATAAAAATAAAAATTCAAGTAGCTCTAAAATAGTTCCAAAAAGGAATTTCGCTTCACATCTAGGTGTGTGGCCATAAATAAGACTTATTTAACTCTCTCTCTCTCTCTCTCTCTCTCTCTCTCTCTCTCTCTCTCTCTCTCTCTCTCTCTCTCGGAAACCAAACCGCTCGTGTTAGTGCTTTTTCAATTCGTCTGTTCTTTTGTATTTTCTTAAGAAAAGTCATTTTCATTACGCACTAGAATGATTCCGCTGCACATTATAAAACAAATTGCAGATCATTCAGCTTTACTTTACCCTTGTTATTCTAAAAATGCCTAGTATTCGTCGATTGATCTCAATATGTTTGTTTGTTTGTTTTTTCACTCGTAAATTATCAGATTAAAACTATCTTGACTTAAACGCATTCAAATGCATAATTGTTAAAAAAAACTCATCAGAAATGTGTCTTTTTAAGAAGAGATTAAGTCTTAATCTAGGTTCAACACTGAAAACTATTTTATTACATTCAAATATTCTTCATATATATGTGGATCTCAAGTTTAATAGGTCTTGTAATATATCACCACGCAGATTGTTTACATGATTCATTGAAAATGTTGCTTTTGACCCATTTTGACGTCAGTTTTTTACATGTATTTTTTCACTAATCGTCTGCTTATGCTTAGGAGAATTGATAATTACGAGATGAAGCATGAAATTCCGGAATTAAGTGCTTTTGCAACCCTTCGGCTAGATAATGTCATGGTGATATATGAAAAATCAAACATATTTGACATGGTTAGATAATGTCATGCTTAGGGCATCTCCAATGTATTGCTCCATATTTGACTCCAAAATGAAGAAATCTCAAAATGGAGTTGGGTTTTGCTCCAATGTATTGCCTCATTTTTTACTTCAAAACTTTTTATTAATTACTAAATTTACATTGTATATTTATATATATTACAAATTGCCCCATAATTTTTTTCTTCAAAAATTCACAATTTATTATAATTATTTAAATTAATTATGAAAATATTAATAATACATTATTACAAGACTAAAAATAAGAACACAAACTTGATCAATAATAGTTGTTTTAATAAATTTATTTTTGATGTTATTTCTAATAACAAAATTTCCTTTCTATTTAAATTTATTATTACCTTAAATAATTAATTTTCTTATTAAATATGTGTTATTTGTATTTTAGAGTAAAAATAAACATCAAAATAATTAATTATATATAAACTAAAATAATTTAAAACTTCAAGGACTGTTATATAATTTAAAAACTTCAACTCCAAAATGGAGATGAAAATGGGATCAACCTCAATTTGGGAAAAAATATGGCATTTTGCCATTTTGAGATTGAAAATGGATTGGGTTGGAGCAAAATTGACTCCAAAATGACAATAAATGTGAAATATGGGGCTGAGTTGGAGATGCTCTTAGGAGAATTGATATCTGGTCTTAGCTAAGCATTATTTTTTGTTTACCATATTCATAAGAATTTTTTAGAATGCATTAATGATCTTTAAAAATGCAAAACGTAGACATATGCTACATTAAAACTTGTCACACAACCTTGTCAATGGTTAAAATATGTCGCCATCCGGTTAACTAAAACTCCACACTTAACATTCTTGCATATATGTGTATATACTTCAATTTTTTTTTTTTTTTTAACCGTGGGGATCCTAAAGGCTTTCTAGGCTCAAAGACTAATCCCACGAGGCCCACGGCAATCCGCGTATTCTTACCATTTAAGGCAGCCCGGGTGGCCAAAGTCAATATACTTCAATTCCTTTCCAAACCTACACTGTCCTCTCTCCCTCCCCTCCTTTCTCGCAAAATGGACACAACTCTAATTGTAAAAACGAAAAATGAAAGTCATAGTAACCACCACCATCATCCATCATCATCCTTTGATCATAAAACTCCAAGCAGCCAAGAGCAGCACCAGAATGGTCTAATTTCAATAAATGCCGTGATCATCATTGTCATCTCCATCATCTCCATCTTCATAATCTTTGCTATTCTTCTGATAATCCTTTTACTTCATCGACTTAAATCCGCAAGAGACAAAGCAAAGCACGTAGATTGCAAAGAAAGCTGCAGCATCATCAACAATGGTGGTCCTTCCACCAGCTACAGTTACACTTCTAGCCCTGGTAAGACACCTACGCTCCATACACATTTTCTTGTCATTTAAGTCCATCCATTCCTTAAATGCTCATCCCAAAAACCAATCTTTTATTTGAATTATGATTTTCTTGTTAGATGACATCAAGAGAGATTGTCTATACTCAAGAAAACCAACATCGTTTAGACAATTGCCCCAACAAACAAAGAGTTGCAGAAGAAGCCGAGCTGAAGGAGTAGAAGTCTACACATACAAGGAATTAGAGATTGCAACAAATAATTTTAGTGAAGACAGGAAGATAGGAGGCGGTGAATATGGAGATGTGTACAAAGGAGTATTGAATGATGGAACTGTTGCGGCCATTAAAAAGCTTCATATGCTTAATCATAATGGTAGTAACCAAAAGCATGAAGATCGCTCTTTTAGGCTTGAGGTTAGTTGTTCTCACTTCATTTATTGTTATCCTTTCTTATCTACTTTTTGTGCTTATTTATTGTCTCCATGTTTATCAACAAATACGTTATAATATCTATATATTTTATTCAATATTCTACATATTTTGAGACAAATATAGTAACAAAATTAGAAAATATCTAAACCCTTTAACAAAAATATATATGTATATATATATGTGTGTGTAAATCTAAAAACAAATGCATAGTTATCTATATTAATAGTTTTAATAAATAACAGTTGAGAGTGAGCCATTTTAAAGCTGTGAGACTTTGACATTTTTCTTTACACCAAGTAGGTGGTTCACGAGTCACCATATCACGCATACCTCTATAGTTAAATACACTCAACTCGTATTTTTAATAACGATTTATAGTATTTGGATTCATACATATTAAGAATATGTAGTCTACAGTTACAATAGAGTAAAAGAATGTACATAAAGCCAGTTTCTTCAATCATTTTTATGGATGTGCATTTGGCATACATTAAGCAAACAAATGTATTTGGTCCCCAACCCAGAACCCAAAAGGAAGTCCAGTCCTAAGAGCATCTTTATTTGGAGTTTTTATGTGTATTTCAACACTAAACAAAAAGTATGTCTTTAATGTATATGTTTTTTAATGTAATATACTTAATAAATGTTAGTTATAGTAAACAATAGGCTCATAATCTCTAATTGTGCAGGTTGATCTTCTTAGTCGATTACAATGCCCATATGTGGTCGAGTTAGTTGGATATTGTGCAGATCAAAACCATAGGATCCTGATATTTGAATATATGCCCAACGGTACACTCGAACAACATCTTCACGGTCATAATTGTAAGAATGTGAAGGATGAATCTCAACCATTGGATTGGGGAACCCGGCTTAGGATCGCCCTCGATTGCGCTCGAGCACTAGAGTTTCTCCACGAGAATGCAGTCACCGCTGTGATCCACCGTGACTTCAAGTGTACCAACATTTTATTGGATCAAGATAATCGAGCTAAAGTTTCAGATTTTGGATTGGCAAAGACTGGTTCTGATAAACTAAACGGTCAGGTTTCAACAAGGGTGCTTGGGACCACTGGATATCTTGCCCCAGAGTAAGTAACACTTCATTCTTGTCGCATTGTTGTCATAATTTTACAAGAAATTCATTGTTAAAATGATAAGAAAACAAATCAACTTATAGGGATGGTCCATTAGCCAAAATATCATACATATGTCACCTAAATATGGACTACAAATTGAATGCTCTTAAAAAGTCAATTATAAACTTAAGAGATTATGATTATTTCAAATTCTCTTAAAAGGTCATATATAACCATATAATTTTTTATTTGGTTGAGATAGGTACGCTTCTACCGGAAAGCTTACCACAAAATCAGATGTTTACAGTTATGGAATAGTTTTATTGCAACTATTAACGGGTCATAAACCAATCGACTCAAGGCGTCCCTCGGGACAAGATGTCCTAGTTTCTTGGGTAAGTAAATCGTAATTCATTCCTGGATAGAAAATTAAGAATTTGATATTCTTATAGACTTCTACGAAAATAAGGTATATAAAAAGTCCAAAGTAGATTAATAGTGAACTGTGGCATATAATTCCAGGCTCTTCCAAGGCTAACCAACAGAGAGAAAGTTAGTGAAATGGTGGATCCAACCATTGAGGGCCAATATTCACTGAAGGATCTTATTCAGGTATTACTTCATCACTTTGTTTTTTTATTTTGCATTGTGGTCTACGGGTTTTTTTCTTTGTACAACTTAGGACAAAGAATATAGGGAATTTTGGGGAAAAAGAAATAATCTTTTTACTAATCATATAAACATTCCCATATGACGACTAATGTATTTTTTTTTTTATCAAGAGATTTCTATAATCGGGTAGACTCAATGTTGCAACTCAATTGAATCATAGGACATGCACATTACTACTGGCAGATCATATTTTTGGCACACTACTAATTTTGACCAGGCGCAAAAACATGTTTGACAAATATATATATTAATTAATAATTAAATGTTTATATATAATCAGATTTTGACATTTACTTTTATTTGTATATATGTGTGTTGCCTGTATTTTTATATTACATCATTTTTTAATATAATTTTTACATTATATTTTTATTTGTATGTATTTTTACATTAGACACTTTGACACTTTTTCTCAGGTAGCAGCCATAGCGGCAATGTGTGTGCAACCAGAACCAGATTACAGACCACTGATGACTGATGTTGTTCACTCGCTTATTCCTCTTGTTAAAGCCTACAACCAAAGTTCTGTTTCTTCTCGGATTCACAGCCGTAGAGAAAGCTTGTCTTATGATGATGTTGTGCAATGAATCTCTTTTTTTTTTACAGTTAAATATTCTTTTGTTAAGTTGAGATTCTTGTTGCTTATGTATGTGTATGGATAAATAAATCAGAAAATGCCTATTTTTTTTTTTTTTTTTTGAACATCCTTTCATTCAAAATAAAAGCCTCAAAACAAAGATAGTGCGTTTTTTGCGAATGAATCAGCCAACGAATTGGAAGTCCTTGATATGTAACAGAATGAGATCGGGACAAAAACCAGATGCTAATTGATGGATAACTTGGAAGATTCCATATATTTCAACAATCTAGTCTCAACCTTGGATAGCACTAATGAGCGTTTGGGAATCCGATTTCACCCAAAGGTTTGTCCGGTCTCTGGTGCGTGCTTGGATGAGAGCTTCTCGTATTGCTAGCGCTTCCGCTGTGAGAGGAGAGCTTGTTGGAGCTTCACCAACAATTCCTTGCTCGATTATACTATGGGATTGATTTTTTAAGATCCATCTGTAACCCGCAGATCTGCAATCGGCTCTCCAAGCCCCATCCTAAAGACCTACTTGCGCTCGCACCGCTGATCCGCTATTCACATCGGCCAGGTACTGATCTGATCCTGCCTTTCCCTCAATTTCTCACCCGCGGATTGTTGATTCTTTTTCAGGAGATTTGATTATGTTTGCATCCGATTACTGTTAAGAAATTGAGGAATCCTAACTCGATTTAGGTTGATTATTCTTTCTGAAATAAGTCATTACTTCAGCTTGGTTTAGTTTCACGCTTCTCGCTACCCATGTTTGTGATTGCTAGATCTTACTTTGGCTTTCCTGGTCTCTCTGTCTCTCTGATTTTGCTTTTATATATCTTTTTTCTGAATGTGCTATTCCGCTTGATTCTTATGGATGTCTGACCTAATTAGGAAGCACAAAGTACTATCTTACCTGAAAGAAAAATGATTGTGATGGAACAATTTCGTTCATTGATGTGTTCATACTTTGCATGGTTTTTGGCACTCGATTGTATATGTTTCTGCATCCATAACCGTTCATTTGCATTCGTTTTCACTCATCTCCACTCATATTCCTCATTAAGTGCATTTAGGACTAGCATTGTTGCATCTTGTACC